GTAACTTTGCGCGAAATTAAAAAAACAAACTTTTTACCGCCCCAAAACGCTTGAAGTGGAGCCTTTTGAACAGAGAAAAAAAGTTGGTTAATTAAACGCTACTTTTCTTCAAAACATCTGTGTATGAATTACTTCATGTGTACAAGTGTGCTTTGTTACTTTTGTTAAAACATTCACTAGTACATTAACTGTATTATAATTCTCACATCTTTTAAAACACAGACCAGATACTTAGAACAAGGTTTCGTGTACAGATAAAATATACTTGTACGTTTGGTTCTGGTTAACTTACTCTTTTTTTTTTGTTGTTGTTGGCGTTTGTTTTTCAATCGATGCAAAATAACTTGTAGGAGTGTTTTGATCTTAACCCAAGTACATTGGAAACCTAATTTGTTTGCTTAGAAATTTCTTTGGACTTCAGATAATGAATACATTTCATTGAAATAAAACGAAATCTTAATTCACTTCAGAAAAGCGGGGGGTTTGACGGGGAAGCCTTTTTTTCGGACAACAGCTGCCTTAAATAGTAGTATTAACTTTTACGAAATAGCTGGTCGGATCCTTTCGTGTAGGTCCTATTTATTACAAGCTCACAATCTCTCTCACGCGTTAAGGATAGCTTACGGAGTAGAATAATTAGGGATTGTTTGGAACTTTCTGAAAATATTATTCATTACGAGCTTTTCAGTTAGAAGCCAGGACAGTCTCGTAATATTGATAGACGGTTGAACGTATGGTTTAATATGATAAACGATAACAGGATTTAACATGATAGAATAGCCGGCTGTAACTATGGTATTAAATAACCCGCCACTAACAGTAGTAGGAGAAAGCCGAATGTGATCAAGTGTAATTAAGGTCGAAGACAGCTGATCGTAATGAAGCCAAAACTAGTCGAGCGTCATTGAGGTAAAAATAGCAAATAGGTAGAGTAAAGCTGGTATAATTACAGTAGAGTATAACCAGGTGGAAGTATAGTAGAAAGAATATTGAAAATAACTGAATGACAGCTGAATAACATATCGTGAAGATAATATAAAAACTAGAGTGAAGATGGTTTATTTCAATCAAGAATCACCATCAGTACCTCAAATGTCATGAAAATCAAGGACCACCATCAGTACCTCAAATGTCATGATAATCAAGGACCACCATCAGTACCTCAAATGTCGTGAAAATATAGAATCGCTATCAGTACCTCTAATATCGTGAAAATATAGAATCACCATCAGTACCTCTTAATATCGTGAAAATATGGAATCGCCATCAGTACCTCTTAATATCGTGAAAATATGGAATCGCCATCAGTACCTCTAATATCGTGAAAATATAGAATCGCCATCAGTACTTCAAATGTCGTGAAAATATAGAATCGCCATCAGTACCTCAAATGTCGTGAAAATATAGAATCGCCATCAGTACCTCAAACGTCGTGAAAATCAAGGACCACCATCAGTACCTCAAATGTCGTGAAAATCGAGAATCACCATCAGTATATTGAATTTCGTGAAATTAATAAAGGTATGTTTACAACCTATATATTTCTAATAGAATGGTCAGTTTTTCAGTATGAGGGATAGCACGCTCCAGTGGGATCGTATCTGTTACCTGTTGTAATAGAAATATTCGTGGAAAATGTGTTAACAAAGCACTTTAACGCTATATGATGTAACAAGTCATGCACATGGGTACAATGTGTTTAACTAATTATCATGTGAGGAAGAGAAGGACATAAGAAGTTCAACAATTATCCGAGCTGTCAGTTTAAAAGTATTCAGTGGAAATGAAGACCAATAAAGCATTTCAATTCCTTTATGTTTAGTCCATAAGGATATTAATTCCACCATATCTGATTGTTGTAATTTATTGCAATCAGGCTCGCACTGATAAATATCTAACTTTTCACCATTTGTGTTATGTAAATTACCAACATATTCAGCAATAGGTACAAAATACGTGCTCTTCTTTCTACATTGACGCAAATCTTAAACTCTCTGTATTCGCGTGCAAGAAAGCCATTTATTAGAACTGTGGATTTCACTCTTTGGGCGTGGGTTGGCCCTGTTGTGGATTTCGAAGCTGACTAATCGAATTCGAATCTGTTGGTACCACGAAATATTCCCCCCACTTTAAATGGTGGGTGCATTATAAGATTGACAATCAGTCCCTTAGTATGGATGGTGGGTTGTAGGGTGCTACTGCCTTCCTAAGGAATTCAAAATTATGGAAGACGGTAGATAGCCTTAGTCGTTGTACCATAAATACAAAATACAAGTACAGTCTTTTGATGGATTTAACAAAAAATAAATATAGAGAACAGTACAAAAATGAAGAAAAATCAAGGAAGCTGTTGCTATTAAGGCACATAATAGTGGACTACTAATTGTTAACAACCTTTCAGTGTTGCACCAACAAAACTGTACAAATTGTTAACAACCTTTCAGTGTTGCACCAATAAAACTGTCCAAATTGCTAACAACCTCTGTGTTGCACCAATAAGACTGTACTAATTGTTAGTGCTGCAATAACAAAACTGTACAAATTGTTAACAACCTCTCAGTGTTGCATCAATAAAACTGTACAAATTGTTAACAACCTGTCAGTGTTGCACCAATAAAACTGTACAAATTGTTAACAACTTCTCAGCGTTGCACCAACAAAATTCGTAAAAAATACATTAAGCACTTCTATAGTCTCTGACTAATATAAAATTGAAACTTTAAAAGCATTGTTTTCCGAATTTGAGTGTGATAGATATGACAAATTATTAAGAAACTGCAAAACAAACAAGAACAAAAAAACGTTATTGTCATATATTTATTTAATTTTGTCATGATTTCAATTAATTGTTTGCATTTTAAGTTACTATATTTAAGAATATATGGCACATATCTTTTATATTGTTGCTTGGTTAGTGATGTCTAAAATCATGGCACATGTCGCTTGGTTAGTGATATCTAAAATAATGGCACGTGTTTTGTATTGTCCCTTGGTTACTGATATCTAAAATCATGGCACATATGTTTTATATTGTCGCTTGGTTAGTGATATCTAAAATAATGGCACGTGTTTTGTATTGTCGCTTGTTTAGTGATATCTAAAATCATGTTACATATGTTTTGTATTGTTGCTTGGTTAGTGATGTCTAAAATCATGGCACATGTTTTGTATTGTCGCTTGGTTAGTGATGTCTAAACATTAAACGATGATGAACTCCAGGTCTTCTGTTTGCATGTCAGGTGTTTCATTGTTTCATCCTATCACTATATAGCACTATAGACGAGACCTCAATAAGAATTATTAGACACCGAAATTAATCGGTTATTTATTATTTCTTTCAACTAGAAAGTTATACCCATCCTAAGAACGGTAGGACTATACCTGAAATATAGCGGTTTGAAACCGAACCTGACGCAATTGTGTTCATTAACCAGGTGCTATTATGGTAGAAACAAGTTGGGTATAGCATTACAGTTTAAAGAGAAGTAGGCTTAACTATAATTGCTGTCGTTAGATTCTATTAGCTTCACATTTCATCATTCATGGCTTCGGCTGGTATGAAGCAATTAATTAAATACATATAAACAGCTACAAAAGAGTACAATGCCAAAATAATTACACAATAAATACATTTATTAAAACAGGAACCATCCTTAAAATACATGTTTCGGTGTCCTTACGCCACCATCTTCAGGAGTACGAGTTGAAGTTTGGCCAGTACTTGTATACTAAATAATTATTTGCATTCATTTAGCGCCATTTAGACTTAACACCCAGAGTTTAGAAAACATATGGCCAGTACTTTATTTCTTCTAAATCTGGACCAACTTCTTTGTTCAGCACAATATCTTTGTTTTTCTTCCAATCTCTATTATTTTTTTAATATTTACATTTCAACTCAACCTGATTTATCAATTTAACGTTACTCCAGTCTATAACATGAGATGTGCCCCAGTGGCACAGAGGTATGTCTGCGGAGTTATACCACTAGAAACCGGTTTTCGATACCCGTGGTGGGCTGAGCACAGATAGCCCTTTGTGTAGCTTTGTGCTTAAATAACAAACGACATGAGATGTGCCTGGCACATGTTCTGCCAAAGCCTATATATATATTTATATTGTATACGTGTCGTTTTAACTTATTGATAGCTAAAGTTTGCAATCCTTGCTGTACCAAAGATTGAAGTAATGATTTATGCAAATCACGGTTTATAGCATCTTTATAAAAAGAAAATATGTTTACAAATGAAATGATAATTGTGCAAATATCATTGCAGCCCCTATATATATATATATATATATATATAATAACTACAAGTAACTTAATTTTTAACTTCGTATTATACTAATACTAGTTAGAAATAGTACGGACACTATTTATTTTTAGTTTATTTTACTTTG